AACTTTTAGACAAATAGGGAAACTTTTGTTTTATCTTAAAGGGGACCTATCATGCAAAATGCACTTTGTGATGTCTTTTATACATAGAGATGTGTCCCCGGTGCGTCGGGGAACTCAAGCAGTGTCAGAAAATAAAACCCTCTCTCTTTTCCTCCGTACCCAAATCCTTTAAAAACGGGGTAAAACGAGCGGATACAGATTCCATCTTCTGTGACGTCGGCGGACCCACAGAAAGTTGCTATCAGAAACAATGCCTGACGTGTTTTGGACGTAATCTCGTCTTTGTTTACATTAGCAAGCCTCGCTAACACTCAGAGCTAACCTGTACTAAAGAGCACATGTGTTTAAAAAGCAGGAAATAAAAAAGGAACTCACCTTGTGATAAACCTGAGAGAGAAAAAGCATTTGAGCTCCATGCTGTTTCAGAGATAATCCTTGATGTGGTTTAGAACAGGATGGCGTTTTATCACAACCGAATTTAACTTCATCTCCGGTAGAATTCTGATCAGGCATTAGCTCCGCCTCCTCTTCTTTCTTTTTTTCAAGCTAAGGACCCAAAATCCGCGTTTCTCTAACAGGGCTTCAAAAGAGGGGTGTGAGCAGTATGAGGCATGGCTGCAACGGGTGATCTGTTTGGGATTTGAAGCAAAAAACTTCACAGACATGTTTTGTATAGGTGTGGCCCTACAATATATGTTTCAGATACAGCATGATAGGTCCACTTTAATTAAAGCCTTCTCTGTTCTGATTGTGTTTAATATCTGACAACAGATTGGACGTAACGGTCCCTTTTCCCATTAAAATATCTCTTAATGTTTGAAAAAAGACCTCTTAAGCCCAGAGGCCCGTCACAAAGGAGCCCCATCCCTCAGTGGTCTCTGTTGATAGAGAACAGCTGGTGGATTTTGAAAACACTCTTTATTTTGTATTAAAATCCAGTTTCGGTGTGTTCTCCTCCCCCAGGTGTTGTTCTGTAACATCGAGGAGATCCTGGCGCTGCACAGAGACTTCCTGTCCATGGTGGAGGGTTCGATGCTGCCCGAACCCAACGCCATGCACGAGGTCGGACGCTGCTTCCTGCACTTCGTGAGTTACAATACAATATATCACAATATATTATAACGCATTGGAATGATCTGAGTTCTCCAAAGAGACGCCACAACCGTCACTGAATGCTTTTGTGGGTCACAGCTGCATTTGAGAGGACACCTTGATAGATTTAATACAATATATATTAAGCCGAGGTAGGGAGTGTATTGTATGAGACCGTTTGGAGTGTTAACTCATCACAGTGCTGTTTTAGACTGGGCGGATTGGGTTTTGTGCTCCACTTAGAATAAAAGAGGAATACAAAAACGAAAATATTTGTATTTATTGAGATGTGAAATAAAAGTAAACATTTACAATATACATAAATTAAAGAAGTAAAAAATAGAATTAAAAATAATACAAATACATATATGGACATAAGAAGTAAAATGTCTAATAAGAAATACTTTAAAAATAGAATTACATATTCATATAAAGTCAGATTTAGCAGAAAAAGCTTTTTTTACATAAACATCAGAAGTTATACATCAAATAAGACTCGCTTAACAATAACAGACATAAAAAGGCTGTTAATTTGAGCTTTTCAGTTAAAAACTAACTAAATATCTGAGTACCGTTTTGATCATCATGTTCAAACTCAGTGTCATTGATGCATGCTCTGTCTTTGACTCATCTTAAGAGTTTTATTTCTGTTATTCACTGTCAGAGCTCAGATGCAGACATGATATCAATGCATCTCTCCAAAGTGCACAGGTTTGCTTCATACCTGATGTTCAGCTCACTGCTCCTGAAGCACGCTGACATAAAACAGGTGGAATAAATCACATTAACTCTTTACAAGAGGAGTACATCTAAGCGTCATGAAGGCAACACGCAGTGTGTGTCCCCCTGCTGCTGATCCAGGTGGAAACAAAGGGGTGACCTCGCTGATATCAACCACACCCTAACTGACCATAGATCAGTCGTGAGGGACCGTGTGAGTCCCTGGAGATAAGACGTCCTTTCTTTGAGTGCTGTGTTGATGCTCCTCATACAGAGTCACACCATGGAGCGACACAGAGGGGTTACGTAACGCTGGTTGAAAACTGAATCCTCCCTTTGGACCAAACCGGTTCCCAGGACTACAAAATAACTCCTTTTAGAGATTCATAACTGCGTTAGAAACACGATTTAAAACCAGAGCTGTGCAGCTGTGCAGCTGTGTGTGTGTGTGTGTGTGTGTGTGTGTGTGTGTGTGTGTGTGTGTGTGTGTGTGTGTGTGTGTGTGTGTGTGTGTGTGTGTGTGTGTGTGTGTGTGTGTTGTTATGACGGTAAAACATCTGCAGCTCCAATAAGAAATGAGGCTGTATGCAGAATACTAACAGAAGAAGAACTGAGTTTCCCCTCAGGTTTAAGTTCTTCTTCCTGTCTTCATCTCTTTCAGTAATGGGCTTTATTAGCAGGATGTTGCAATACCTTTGAATATAAAGTATGATATCACGAAGCACAAATTCAAACACACACGTGCAGAAAGCTGATTACATGTGTCAGGATAACGTATAGAGATGGTATCATGTAACCTACAGAGTATTTACAGATGAATGTTCTGTAGTCCATTACCTGTATATGGATAACCTCTGAATGAGCTGGTTTTCATTTAGGCTGATTTTACTTTCTAAACATCTTGGATTAGTTTAACAAAAAACACCGTGCACGCTCGATATGCATCATATACTTGTCCTTATTTGCAGATTTGATGTTGAGGTAAATCCAAAAGTAACGGAAAGTAATCTAGATCAAAATGTTGTTATAAATACATGTTTAGAGTAATCCTCCTAACTCTGTCAGAAAGAGAGCTGCAGGAGAGAGGGGACTATTTTCTCTGTGGTGACGGCGTAGTGATTTAAAGGCTGTGAACAACACGATGCAGGAGGCATTTGGCTGCTGAGTAGATCTGATGTGATTATTATTATCTGATCTCATTATATCTCACGATGAAGAGGACAGAGGGGAGGAATAATATGAATCCTTAGAAATACACTATTTATACAGTTTGTACATTTCAAGTTTTCAGACTGTAGTGTAAATATACACATTGGGTTACATCGCTACGACCTCTGCTTTCACTGTTATTCATTTATTTGTGTCTATTAGTGAGAGTTGCCAAAGACATTTCCTTGTACTTTGTATGATGACGATAAAGATATATTCTATCTATAACTTCTGCTCAGAACTCAAGTTTGTCTCCTCGTGTTTCTCCCTCTCTCGCAGAGGAGTGTTTTCCAGATCTACGATGAGTACTGTGGGAACCATGAAAAGGCCCAGAGGCTTCTGCTGGAGCTCAATAAGATCCGGAGCGTCCGCACATGTTTACTGGTGAGACCAGTAAACACACACACAACGTCTAAAATGAAACACACACAGTCTTTGAATAGCAGGAGTCTGTACCGTCTGTAATCCAGACTCCACGATTCATTTCCTGCGTAGACTCTTGACTGGTCGCTCCTTTGACCGATCACTTTGTAAAACCGGTCGTGTTTCCTGCATGCTTCCACATCGACGGTTACATTTAAAAACAGCAAAAATATATCTAAGATAATCTTCATTTTGGACTCATCTGGACAAGTAGGATGCACAAGAACGAGGCCCTGATTTCCTCAAATTCCTTATGATATTTTTCAATTTTTGGATCTTTTTGAACCATGCAAAAGTTATCTACATGATTTCAGAGTGTCATGGGGTGAGTCATTGATATATAAGTAATTATGTTATGGGTGAAAGTATTCCTTTAAGTCCAGTTCTTGCAGTCATTAAGGCTAAAGAAGTGTTTGTCAATTCCTCGTACCTGTCGACCTACCTAGTAATAAACCTGATTCTGATTCTGCTTGTTATCCATTCATAAATGCTGCAGCAGCACAACACGTCCATTTCTTTAGTCCATCAGGAATGAAGGCATTTTTGAATCTGGTCACTTCTTAACCCCCTCTCCTTCCTGCAGAACTGCATGCTGCTGGGGGGCAGGAAGAACACGGAGGTTCCTCTGGAGGGTTACCTGGTGGCGCCCATCCAGAGGATCTGCAAATACCCCCTGCTGCTCAGAGTGAGGACACACACACACACACACAGACAGACAGACAGACAGACAGACAGACAGACAGACAGACAGACAGACAGACACACACACACACACACACACACACACACACACACACACACACACACACACACACACACACACACACACACACACACAGACAGACAGACAGACAGACAGACAGACAGACAGACAGACAGACAGACACACACACACACACACACAGACACACACCACACACACACACACACACACACACACACACACACACACACACACACACACACACACACACACACACACACACACACACACACACACACACACACACACACAGCACTCTTCATAAACACACAAGAGGTTGGGTTGACGTTGCTGCCATCGCCTTGATTAAATCATGCGTATATCCTTTATTTGATTGTATGGATAGAGAGAAAAAGCACACAAGCCGGAGAACCGTAATGAAACATCATCGGCACGGCTATTACAGACACACTGTCCAGAATACAAATTCCCCATGCAGGTATTTGTTTTCATCCATCAGTATTCATTATGCGAGTGAATGTATCATTGGAGTGTAGCTATCGATCCTGTATTAAATCTCATTGTTATATTCCTATTCAGCAGCGAGCCAGGTGAAGGAAAAAGGAAGGGTGACCAAATGTCATGGTGACAACATGCAGCATTGTCAAAGGTAACTTTATCGATCAAGATAGTCACAGAGAGCGAGAGAGGGGAGAAAATTCAGCGGGGCCCCAACCGTCTGACATTTTAGAAAAGCTATCCTTTCTATTTTGTCACACTCTATTGAGTGCATAGATGCCTTGACTGAGGCAATTTGAGCTATGGCCTTCGCTTCCAGCAGAGACAGTGAGCAGGTTCAGACGCGGCTCCGCAGTCTTGTTCATTATATTTATCAGTGGTAATTTCACAATTCACATGCTGTGCTTCTGAGTAGGTGTGCTACGCATTGTTCTCGTATCTGGCTTTGACATTTTAAAGGCCTCTCTGTCACACCTTGTCAGCGGTTCATTTGAAACACACTGTAGATGGAGGCTCTGGTTTTGTAAGAGTCCAATTAGCTTGCTAGACATGAACAGCAATTCTTCAGACAACTTAGATGACTCAGAAATGTCCCCAGTGGGACTTCCCATCTTTTCCCGCTCAGATCCAAAAGAAAGCAAGGGGCTGTGAGAACTGAAGGAACACAATGAAGCACACGGGAGAAGGAAGATGCAATGAGTGTTGTCATATCAAAGCTAAACTGCCACCAAACATGTCAGATTGGAGCAACAACACAATGAGGGCAGGCCAGTGCAGCACCCTGTTGACCGGGGAGAAAGCCGGCGGCTGGGCACTAATGCAGGTCGGAAGGTGTGGAAGTTTGCCGCTTGAGCTTAGCCTTTCTCTCTCATTCTCTCTCTCCCTCTGTGTCTGACTCACTCAGGTAATTAGCACAGACTTACATTTTCCCTGTGTATGGCTTAAAGCGTCTTGTGTTAAAGCAGTCCAGATCAAAACGGCATGTCATACCACATTATCTTCAACACTATTCCACGGCAACAGCCAGGACTCTGCAGTCAGCTCTGCTCTTCCTCTGCCTCCCTGGATGTTTATCTGTTGCCAGGACTGGAAAATCTCAAGCTTATTGTTTTGCACCAGGGGGGACCGTGGTGCGGATTAAGTAGATCTTCTGATCTATGGAATGACCTTACATAGCAAGGCTCCAACAGGAAGAGTATTTGCCTTAATACTAGTAATACTAAATACAAAGGCCCCTGTTTCCATTCAACAGTATAGGCTCCTGTAGACCAGCTGGTTGGCGCTAACAGGCCAGTCCCAGTCTAATAATGCAATTTGCATCCATTCTGCATGTGGAGCACAAGCCCTGGTCAAAGTACAGTGCCCTATTAAAGTAAAACTGAAAACACACTTTGCAGTACAAGTAGCCAAATTAGCAAGGCTTACAAAAAGTAGCTTCTTCAGCTGCCTCTGTTGGACATGTAATGCCCTCTTGCAAGTTGTACTCGTCCCCGTGGGTCACCTTTCTAGTAGCAGAATATAAGCTAACTAGCTCTTAAAAATAGAGGAAAAACATATAACACACAGTCTATATTAAACTTGGTTTTACTCAAAGTTAGGGCAAGCAAGGAAATAAATATATGTCTGGATAAGTTGTACAATAGGCTACAGTGGTTCCCAAAGTGTGGGAGGGCGCAGAGGCATGACAGGGGGGGTGCGAGAGACCAGGAGGAAAAATGGTTATTACAACAAAAAAAAAAGATAAAAAAGAAAAAAACGGTACCGGAGATCGTTGTTGTTAGCTTCTGGTGCTAGCGAGCTACGCTAATGGATATAAGGAGTTTTTTCAACAACAAAGTGGAGGAGAGTCCTTTCCTGTCAGACTGAGAGGCTCAGTGAGCTAAAGGACTCTCTCAGTGTTATCTCAGTGGGTCTCAAACGTTTTGGTCACCATTGATGTAAACAATTATTTCCGAGGCACACGTTTATATGATCAATAAAAAAACAAGAGAGTAAATGAAAAACAGGTATGAAATCGCCTACTATGTGACAGTAAAAAAAAGAATAAAGTTTAAAAGGGTGATTTGTAAAATATCCATAAAGAAAAAGTTAATCTGTTTACAGTTCAGTTCATATGGGTGTTGAGAGATGTATCCATAGATCTCTTAATTTTGCTCTCAAAGTGCACCAGTATGATGCATTTAACTTCAATATTTAAAAATAAATCTTCCCGGGGGAGCATTCCCCCGGACCCCCCTATGTAAGGTCCACACACCACTTATAAAAATAGCACTTTACCCCTGCCTACACCTATATGCCGTGAGCTGATTATCGAGCCTTCATTGTAACAGTCGCGGGTATACTGTGCGTGGAGAGTGTTGCAGTAGAAAAGTCAACTGTAGCCCGGTACATTAATGGGAAACCCTACATGTTTGAGCACCCTCTATGAAACGTCAAGCTACCCCACAGCACCCCCAAAAGAAAATCTCTGGCAGCGCCACTGTGTGCTGTCAAAAGCTGCTTCATAATTTCGGTTTCGCAATCTCTGCTTGAATAACATGTTTGTTTGCTGTGGTCCACCACACAAACACTCATTTACAGGCACACCAATTCTTCAAAACCTCCACACAGTTTTCCGATACGCTTAAGACGTATGAATGTGGGCGTAAGTGTGAAAATGTGTGACCTGCCTGCCACGAAGGCAAGGTATAATATATAAAGTTCTATGAGTCCTGAACACATGCTGAGGGCCGGTTGTCTGAAACCTTTGACCTGAGGACTTCACCTAGTGCACAACATCTTCCCATCCTTAAGGCTGGTGAGTTGAGATTTTAAATCATAATTTGATCATAACTTTTTTTCTGAAATAGTTTTTTTGCATTTGCCATGCCACTGTCCTAACCTATATGTGTTACTGGTACAAATGATGATGCAGCTCATTGTTTGTGACTTGCTTTGAGTATCTACTTGGATTCAACAGATTTCCTGACTGCAGTGATGGAGGGCAACATGTGGATCTTTGCAACACTGGGTCTAATCATATGCTGGGTGATGCCTGTTGACTCCATGGCGGTGAGTTGAGCATGTGGAAGTGGGTGGACATTCCCAAGAGTGGCAGGGAAAGATATTTACATATTTACCATGATTTTTGGGTGCAAAAATACTAGAAAATATGTTCTTCATTAAGAGATTTAGTGAAATGTTAGAATAATGCTTAAGAAAGCATACATCTTTATCCTAAGGATACTTGAGCAAGCAGTGATCTGTGGTTTATGCTTTTAATATCTGTGCATCTGTTTTGATTAATCCTCTATTATGCACCTGAACAGGTTAGGGAACAAATGATCATTAACAGTGCATTTTGCATTAACTTATTAGTTAATGGACATACAATTTATTTTGCTTAATATTGTATTCTTGAGAAACTACAGCAACAGGGATATTGCACAAGTGTAAGCATGTGCTATGGCAGTGTTACTTACCATTATTCACTGATTTAGGTTCACTCAATCAAATATGTGATGGTGGGTGTGGCATCACAACGCAATAACATCCACCACAAAACTTTTTTTAAAGATTGTAACAAAGTTCTCCTCTCTTTTCCCATTTTAGATACGTTTTAACTTCACTCTGCGAGAAGCCAACATCCCATTGAGCATGGTTGAAGATTCGGTTGATGACATGTATTTTGGCTGCAATGAACAAATGATGACAATAGTGAAGGACAAATTCCTTCCAGAAGAAAAATCTCAGAAACATTTTGGAAAACACTGGAGTGCGGCACAATCTTGTGCAAAAAAGAAATTTGATCAGAGAGAGGATAAGGCTCTAACCATAGATCACATTAGTGCAATCTGTGTTTACACAGCTAACAATGTTTACGAGGAATTTAATACTGCAGTCCGGACAAAAGGGAGGTCCTATCTCTCCTTATTCAAATACCACTATTTACATTACCTGCTGACATCTGCCATACAGATCTTGAATAACAACGACTACTGTCACTCTACTTTCAGACGAACCAAATATATATTTACTGGCAAAGTCAACCAAATAATTCGGTTTGGCTTCTTTACCTCAACATCTTACAAACCATACTTGACGCGCTTCGGTAGTGAGACCTGCTTCAAAATTAAGACCTGTTTAGGCGCATCTCTGAAAAAGTATCCACTCCTAAATGATCATGAGGCAGAGGTTCTCATTCCTCCCTATGAGACATTCAAGATAACTGAGATAATCAAAGGTCGGGACAAAATTCAAGGTCTGGGGGATTGTGAAGTTGTCTTTGTCTTGGTGAGTGCAGGGACCAAGAGCTCTCTGAACTGCAATGTTGTGCATTTGAAATGAAGCTGTATTGGTCCAAAAATGGAAAATGCTATGTCCATCTTTAAACCTTCTAACTATCTTTTCATAAATGAATGAGTTACACAGTGTTAAACATGGCTGCTTAATTGTAATGCTCAGGCTTTGTTCAATCATTGTAG